CAGATAAATCAATTTGGAATAAAATACTAGCAAAGCACGTCACCGGTTACGTAGCTAATAACATGTATTAATAGAATCGTAGTAGCAATGTGTTTAGATGCATGTAGAAGCAAAGCATGTCTAGCATCACAAAAAAGCTGGCGGGTGCAGTAGTGTTGGCCCAACACGCAACATACAACCACACCTTGGTGAAACTAATTACCACTGCTAACAAAGCAAGTAGAGAAGTATGTAGTTGCGTGATACTTGAGACTGCCACTCAGCCGCATACTGCTTAGCGTCATCACAAATGTGCGCCTTTAGAAAGTGCAATAATGGCAAACGCCACACAACTTTGCCACTCTCCGATTACTTCTTATTCAGTAGAAATTGAAAACCCCAATGCATACATGCTTGCAGTTAAGTATCAGCGTTCAACGACACCATAAATACAGACGTACACACTTAAGTACAAAGAACATAGACGAAAAATATTGCAGAGATTATTAACTGACCTCTTCGAGGTTGCGCCATTAACTTACTCAATTTTTGGAAATGGAAACGATTACTGCTTTACATACATCCATAGATACGTATAAAGGCAAATATGTGGTTGGTTTTCTCCAAATCAGCAGAGCTTGCTCGTCCAACGAATGATACTTTGCGGAACCCAAAAGCGCTGCAATGAATGGCGTCTGTCGGTCGATATGGATTTCTTAACGCCCAACTTTTTTATGGTTGAACGTTATTTTGCAGTATTTTGTTTCACAAGCGCTAATCCGTATATAACGTGTTTAATTTTCACTGTTCTGCACTACTACACTTCATAGCATTTACTTTTTCTTTGATACAAACCAATTTTTTTGCTGTGGTAATTTCTTTTGTTCCAATTTTTCTTTCGGTTTTCACGGAATTCATGCACTTGTCCAGCGTTTCATTTCTTCGTTATCTATTTCATGTTTTTGCATTTTTTATTATTTTAAACAATGGAAAAACACAATATGCGAGTTTGCTTTAATATCCATGTACATGCGCAATTAATCACATTTATACATTTTTCACTTTATTCTAGTACTTTCGTATTGGGGTATTACACGTTGAAACACCTAATTTGGCCACCTTCTAGTTGGGGCCATATAAAAAAAAAAGAAATTAAGAAAATTGCAACAGATTTTGGGGCAAATGACAAAAAATAATCAAATCGCCTCCGATTGACGTTTTCAACTGAATGTAGGGAAATTTTTTCTATAAGTGGAAATGTCAAAAACGTAAACAAATGCTACGATAATGGGATATTATATGGGACCAAATATCGGTTTGGGACTAAAGCTAAAATTAGTCAAGAACGTAAACCAACCGGTACGTAAACCCGAGTCAGCTGACACGATCTGTCTTACCAAAGCGCCATGTAAATGAAAACTCAACACCGCAGAATTTTCCTGTAGTTGTAGCCCGTAGCGCAGAAATCTGCGGAATTTAGATTTTTCCGTGTCAGCTGATTTCTACTTCTTTAGATGGTTGCCACTTCATCAGTTTTACAGATGGTAAAAAAGTTATAAGTTCATATTCAAAATATGTTTAAAATATTTGAAATTTACTATTGAATAAGGTTTTTGTTGAAAACTAAGTAGTTTATATTTAGCTAAAATCTATTATAGCACGAAAAATTGTAGTTGAAAGGGCAAGTTTATGAAAAGGCATTGATGAGTGGCAACAGTGTAGTAAGCAACACTGAGGGCTCCAGTAATCGACAAAATTCTGCGTATACAGACTGCGTTTAAGTATACGTTCTGCGTTCTCGACTAATTTCAGCTTGAATGCACAACCGGAAGTAGAGGGTTAGAACCCGTGTTTATCACCCTGTACTTCTGGTAGTGCATTTCAAAGAATTCCGGTAGTGCATTACAGAATTCAGCGAAATTTTGATCGGCCATTCCGCTTTAAGGTACGACCGCACTAAGCGACGCGACACTGCAGCGGCAATACGCGACACGGCGCGACACTTTTTGGTATACCGCACTGAAACTGCAGCGGCGCGACACTTCGCTGCAAATTTTTTTTTATTTATTTGCGTCAAAACCTTCAAACAAGATGGATGCCAGTGACGCTGATGTAATGTTAATGCCTTTTATTTTCCTTGGCGAATTCTCCTCAAATGTTATGTTTATTTACATAAAATTTTCTTCTTGAATGAAATGCATGTGAATATTCACTCACAATTCGAAATCAATTTCTTCAAGTTAAAAATATAGTACGAAATGTTATGTCGCTATCCGGCACCGGAACTGCGCGACACCATGCGACGCGACATTTTTTCCTAGTTGGTCAACTTTGCCGCGCAGCGTTGCGTCGCGTAGCTCCGCTACAGCGCAGTGTGGTATGCTCCATAAGAATCCATGGAAAAAATTTTTTGCCACGCTGTGTAGTGTCGTGTCGCGTCGCCTAGTGCGGTCGTACCTTTATCTTTTTTTTTGTTCAGAGCTGCCAACGTTTCTCAGGCGGAATTAAAGCAAGAATGCAGGATTCAATGGCTGAATTTCTTTATTCATTCTGAACGTTTGGAATAAACTTTTTTGTTTACTTATTCTTTAGAACGTTCCTGATGATATGTTAACGTATATTTCAAACGCATTCTGCTTATTCCGGCTGTGAAATGCGATTATCCAGAATGTATAAAGAAACGCAGCCAATAATTAAGCTTAGTATCCAGCTCTTAAGAAAAGCAAAAACTCCATATAAAATGACGTACAAGAAATGGCTAAGAAATTTTCTTGAGTCAAATTTCCTTAAGGCAGTACGCAGTTCTTCAGAAATTTAGTACGCTTTCTACTACGGTTTTCTAAAGTTTTTTGTGAAAAAAGAGCACAAGGCAACCCAGGTTTGCAACAGAAATATATGCCCGTTCCATTATTTCTTGAGGAAAGAGTGAAGGCTCTGTTATGCATACTTGGCATTGCATGTACTGCTATACCATTTTTACGTAAAAATCAAAAACCAACAGACTTCTACGTATGTAGTGCTGTGCGTTCGATAACCGATTACACGCGAGGCTCATTTAACAGATTTCTTATGTGACAGCTCTCAAGCCATGCCAAGTATGCATAACGGAGCCTTTAGGCAACAGGCTGTGAGGTATAAAAAATGTCAAAATTCCTTGGACACACACGCGAAATAATGGCAATTTTTTCTTGACCGTTTTCTTAAGAGCTGGATACTAAGCTATACGGATGAATCAATTACTTAGGGTTTACACCGGACAATATTGTCTTTTGTAAACCCTAAGTAACGGATGAATTGAGGCGAATTTATACAGGATTCAATACAAGGCGAATTTAAACAAGGTGGTGTTACTGGCGAATTTAGTGTGTGTTGTAATATGAATTCGCCTTGTTTTAGTGTCTCCGAACGCGTAAAGTACGATTTTTTTAAAGTGACGAAAAAGTAATAAAAGTATAAAACCGAAATGAGTGTAAATTGTCCAGAAAATATCAATTTATTTTGTTACGTTTGTGGCAAAAGAGCTTTTTCAACAAATACTGCATTACTCACTGAGCAAGTGGAGCGCGCTTTTAAACTTTATTTTGATTCCGAAATAATTCGCGGCGGTTCGTGGGTCCCAGACAAAATTTGTAAAACGTGCTACAATGGTCTTAACATGTGGATCCAAGGGAAACGCAGTTCACTTCGTTTTGGTGTACCAAAGATTTGGACTGATCCAGGAGAGCGTAATTCCGACAACTGTTACGCTTGCGCAAACAAAATATGTGGAGTAAATCGTAAAGGCCTTAAACGAAGAGTTTACATATCTGTTAAAAGTGCACAAATACCTCTACCACATTCGGATGAAATACCAATTCCACCGCTTCCAAGTCCTGACAGAGAAACTTCTTTTTCTATTGAAACAATGGATCAATCGGATTTCACCTATAAACCAACACCAGATACATCCGATACAGACTGTGAACAAGTGGGCGAACCACCACGCAAGAAAGTAAAGGGCGCAAACAAACGAAAATAAGTTTTGCGTTCATCGATTTTTATAACCTATGTATCTATGTAATAACCTAATAATTACCTGTAATAATTTTTAATTTTACGTGTTAATAATAAATAATATATAATAAATATTATCCAAATTCATTGAAACATAAAATCAATATTCTTGTCAAAATGAGATACCTTCACTTAATTGTGAATAAAAGCGAAACGCGTCCATCGATTTTCATGATCTATGTCTCATTTGGCTTAAAGGTTATGTGACTTTGCGTGAAAGTAATACGACTTGCCTTTTTTCCGTTTTGGATTTGTTATGAATTTAAAAAATAAAAAAATTTAATATTTTAGGCAAAAAATATTTTTTTTCTTCATACATTTATTTTTACCGGCAAAACTGTTGAGTATATAGAAAAACGTTATATGAACAGATTAAAGGAATTGTAATTTTAAATTTTTTTGTTTGAGCCAAATCGGACTAGTGGTTCTCGAGTTATGTCAAAAACAAGGTGACAATTTCCCCTATATGATAGTTACGAACTTCAAATCGATATATCTCGATTCCTAGACGTGACCCAGCGAAACGCCGGGACACGTATAACTTCTTTTTTACCGATATAACTTTCCCCGGTAGTTTGGACCCTTCCCGATCACTGACCCCTACCATTTGTCTCACAGTGTAATCGATAATCGACAAATATTCGTTTATCTACTACTAGTCGACACTCGCAATAGGGGTGTAATACTTGATTTTATTCTATTTTCGCCAAATATTGGACGGGTCAGCTCTCCTTAAAAATATATCATCATATTGAATTTGAAGAGTGTTCCAGTCAATCTACAATTGAAATTATTTACACACGTTAAAAAAAAAAGCAAATTTCGTTTGAAATCGTGAATGTTCGAAAATAATTCCATAAAACATGTAATTGGGCAAAACGAAGTTTGCCGGGTCAGCTTGTACTTTATATAAAACGCATTTGATTTCACATAAAACCAGTAACATTTCATTTTATTGAATTTATTTTGATTTTCATTTCTAGTTTATACACAAAGATTCTGTTTCTGGGCTTGGATAAGAATTTTCGTTTTTATTCCACTTTTACGATTTTTAATTGATAATCGAATGCCTTGCATATCTACTCTTTTGGAATTTTCAATGATTACATTGTACATATAGTAATAGTAATAATAATAAAAATAATTTAGTGCAACTAAATACTTCATTTATAAATACGTGGTTTCTTTTCTCTCGAAATTTAGTATATAACTCAATACTTAAACGTATGTATGTATGTATGTATATACGGTAACTACATTTTTATGTATGTATATTTCATAAAGTAAATAATTAATGCTAATTTGGTGAAATACATTATTTATAAAGACAAGGAGGGGAGAAAGTAATAACAATTTCGCTTAGCTATTAAGAATCGCAGGTCGTTTAAAACTTCCATAAATATAGTAGTTGCAATAGCCACTATATTATCATACTCGTACACATTTAGTAATATTATTAATAAAAATTGGCAAAAGTTGCGCTTTACTTATTATTACGATGAATAAATTTATTTAAGTACTATTGAGCCTTTATTGAAAATGCAAGGAGCGTTTTAATGATGAGCTGGATTGGGGGTGATGCCTTCACGGTCGGTGGTTGTTGTGGGGTTAGTAGTAATGGTGCTAAAAATGTTATTTGTGATGCTAAGAGTGCTATAGACTGACATGTGTGTTGCATAAGTTTAATTGTAATAGTATTTCTTATTTTCATCGCTGCTGTTGCTGCTGCTGACTTAGTTATTTTCCGGTGTTTATGTCGCCACTATTCAACAATGGGATCGGCTGCACCGGGTGCCGTCTTTGAGATCAAATTTTCTTTTTTATCACCCTTATTATCATCAACGGCCTCTTCGAGTTCATTATCGTCTACGCCCTTGGGGTCATCATCACCTGCCGCATCAGCGGATTTATTAATATCACGCTCGAATTCATTCACTTCATTTGCATTTACCATTTCAGTCACATCATCCAACGGTGGTAAATTAATGTCGCGCTCAAATTCATTTAATTCAATATCCATTGGTAACTCTTCTCCAATCACATCATTCAACGATCGCCAATCATTCAAACCGGCCGCATCGAACTGCTCCGGCAATGGCTCACCAGTCACGCTGCTAAGACGTGTGCGCAAGCGCTTGGAAATACCCTCCAGCTCATTAAATTTATGCTTAACGGCTTGACTAAGATTTAAGTGTGTGAGATCGAGTGAGTTTCCAAATTGTTCAATGACATTGTCAATGGAAGCGCCAACAGCGCATTGTGCGTTGTTAGCAGGAGCAGAAACAGAAGCAGGGATAATAAACTGTAGATCTGGTCTAGATTGTGTTTCCTTTTGCGGCTGTGGATGTTTATATATACGTTGTGCGAGAAACTTAACATACCACCCTTCCATTGGCTTGGCACTCAACTGCAACTGCCCATTCATGCGTCCATTAAAATCGATCACATTGAAAGTGCCACCAATATGCATGCCACGCAAAAAAACGCCCAAGTCCAATGCGGTAAAACCTATGATGGCATCATCAATTGGCTTGGGTACCAAACGTGCAGTCGTACCGGAGCTACTACTGCCATTGCCAGTCGGCGGTACATTAGCCTTTTTCCATAGCTTCAAAATGAAATTTTGCTTAGGCTGAAAATGTGGTACAGAAAACAATCGTTAATTTAGTTTTTCGGGTCTCAAGAAAGCTGTTATCTTACATTTTCTAAATATTCAGCGCCTACAGTGACCAAAAAGAGTTGCGTAAAACGCGGATGCGTACTGCGCTCAACAACATCTGTGGCATAAACGTTCCCCTCATGCGACTTATAAGGTCCGCTACTGCCCGAACACTCATCTGCTTGGAATGTAACGTATGTGGTTGGTGGCTCGCCTGCTGGAAAACGCTTGGATGCTGAACGCTTAGAAGCATTCTTTCCACCCTTACCCTTAGCGGAAGGATTTAGCGGCAATGATGCCGCACAATCAATATACAACTCAAATTGGAAAGTGCGTTCCTGTAAACACACTTTGGGCTGCACTTGTTGCTGTTGCTGGGTAGCCGCCGCTGACGACATTGAATTTGGCGTCGGTAGTGATAACATTGAAGACGCCGCAGACGTTTGCGGTGACGATTGCGTTTGTTCCAAAGCTTCTTGCAACATTTCCATCAAATTTACTGTACGCCGAATACTTTTTGGTGTGTTTGCTCCTTTAATTGCTGCATTAATATCTTCGGGTGGTATGAGAAGACTTGGATAGAGTGGCTCTCGTGTAGCGTCTATGGCAATACTGCTAAACATGTCGGCGTGTAAAGGGCGAAAGCCACGTTGTAATTTAAGATTTTTTATCTGCTCTTCGCTACCAATAGCAAGCAGACACTTAATTTCACCCAACTTTTCGCCATTCTGACCCAAAATAGGTGTCCAAGCGTCAATGGAAATAACGGGAAGCTAAATAATGAGATTTGGAATAAAGCTTTTTTTGCTATATAGCCCAAACACACAAATTAATGGCACATACCTTTTCGGTAACCAAACGATTTGCCATCATTTCATTGCTGAATGCTATGAAAAATTGATGTAGTGGCAATAGTACCACGCCTACTGGTTCCAGGGGCATTTTTGGATTGCCATTATTATCAACTGCGGCTGCGCTAATAGGGCGTTGACAAATCTGTAGTTTCAAATGCTTACGCTTGACACGATTCAAAAAGTTTGCATCTCTTATTATGGCGAATTGCTGAAAGAGTTTTAAAAAAATTAAAGCGTACTGAAAGAAACGGCCATCAGTCCATTGAACTCACCTCCTGATAGTAAAACATTTGCGAATACTCAGACTTTGATGTGGCTGGCTCTGATTTCCAAAAGCGTTCGCATACCAGATGATACTCGCGATTCAAACACATAACCATATCCCGAACCTCACAAGCATACACAAGGCCCGTCAGCAGGCGTATTTTTAACGTTTCAGCGTTGAAGCTGCTGCTCGTGCCAACTTGTACATCATTGTTATCTTTGGTTTTGGCTGCATTAGCTGGAAAATAAACGAGGGAATTGAATTAATATACATACATATGTAGGATGGAAGATTTCGTATGCAACGAACTTTATGTAGAACAATTTCATAGAAACAACTGAAAATTAAATTTTTTAAAGATCACTTTATTAAAGTAGCATTGAATTTGGAGCATGGTTTTAGGCGTAATTTTTGAATTTCATATAGAGATGAACGTCGAATATCGGGACCCGCAGTACGGATTTCAAAATGGCCGAGAAGGTATTAAAAAATTTGCGGGCGAGACTTGACTTGAAATCACTTCCCGACACGCCTGATAAAACCCGCAACTTCCGAGATTTCAGAAAGGCTTCGTTACAAACGTAGTACGTATATAGTACATATATAAATAAACACATTTTTGTTTTTATTGATACGAAAAAAAACGAAAACGAAAAAAATTTAGAGAAATACATACATACATATACAATAAGCACGAGATTATTTAAAATTAATTTGAAAGCCATATAAATTTTACTTAGTGATAGATATCCGAGACCCACGGGACCGCGGTAAATTCTGAAAAACGTTGGGATGGGCAGGTTCGGGACTTAAAAATTGAATGTCGGGATGAACGGGATCGGGATTGAATATTTAGTCCCGCTCACATTTCTACACAATTGTGTTATTTTAAATTCTAGACATGCATACCCATGTGCAGTTGTGGATATACAGGGTGGGCCAAATAAGATCTACCAATATTAAACACGTATAACTTCTTTATTTTTTAATATTATTATTTTCTTTCTGCATGTTATAGTTTATCTCTGGGAAAGTCATAGTGGATGCTTACTGCAAGACGACCAACAACGACTACAATACGCTATTCGTTATACACAATTAGATTCACAAATTGATTTTTTAGGTAATGTTTTGATGTCGGATGAAGCGCATTTCCAAGCAAAACTGTAAATTGTGGGGCTCTGAAAATCCAAGGGCAAAACACCAGTACCAGTCTCACCCATCCGGTGCGGTGTTATGGCCGAAAAAGTTAGCGGCCCATATTTCTTCGAGAATGAGGATGAAACGCCAGAAACGATTTCTGGGGCTTCTTACAGATTGACAACTTTTTGCGGCCAACGGCAGAGCAGCATCCAAATTTGTGGTTCCAACAAGATGCGAGCGACTGCGCACACTGCTAGACAAACTATGGACCTACTGCCATACCTAAACAAAAGCGTCAGCGTTGTCTGGCTGTCTCATGCCCATACAATTTGTATGAAGCATACCGAAACAACGCGGCGTCAACGCTGAGCGGTTGGAAAATCCGATTTTGACAGGGCGTTAACGCTAGGCGTCAGAAACCGCTCCGCCCAACGCTTTTGTTTACGTATGGCAGTTATGAACTATGGATGGTAGGTCTTATTTGGCCCACCCTGTATTTATGTATTTCACCGTGAGGTAGGTGTGAAAATCACAACGGTTAGTCTGGGTTCAGACTCAGAAACTTTTGTTGCGGCAACTCGAAGTTTTTGTTGGAGAGAGGTCGACGAGCAACAAAGGTTTGTGCTCTCGTTCGTCTGAGTAATTCAAGTTGGCGGTTCACAGCCGACAACAACAATTGTATACAAAATAATTGCTCAGTGTGAACGCGAAGGGCAACACCAAAAGAGAAGTTGCCGAAAATGAGCCACAAAAGTTTCCATGTGTGAACCCAGTCTTATGAAAAGTTTCAAAATAATAAATAGTAGGTGTATCGTAGTAACTAGTCAACTAAGTTGAAAGATACTATGGACGAAATGCTTCCCACCAGACAATTTTTGTTGCCGGAAATAAGAAAACGTTTCGCCTTCGGCAACAAATTTATTGCCGGTAATATCGCCATCGTATCGATTTATTACCAGTCGCTCTAAAACGTCCGCCGAAGTGCTATTTGAGCAATAATTATTTGGAACAATTTTATTCTTTTTAAAATTTCAAAATTAAATTATTTCCCTCGCTATTACGCCTCCTATTTTTTCAATTCTACTTTTGGTGTAAATTATGTGCTTTCGAGAATCCTGTTGACGCAAAACTCATAAGTTTGGGAATAATAATGATAATATATTTCTAAAATGACATGAAAAAATTGGCAAGTCGCCAATTTGTTGCCATTAACTATTGTTGCCTATTTCTCATGTTTTGCATGGTGGGTTCTTACTTTAATTCTAAAAAAAAAATGTGTTTTTATTGTGACCTAATAATAATAATGTTGAAGTAAACAAATAATCAATTATAGCTCGCTGAAAGTTTGCCTTATTTTTTAAATCAATATTTTCCAAGCTTTGTCATAAAAATCTTTTTAACATTTTATAACAGTGGAATCCTCACAACTCAAGTCGATACTAAGCACATTTTTTTTGGAAGCAAAGCGCTTTTTCTTTTACTTAAGATTTTCCTTTTAGCCCAGTAACTTTAGCCTTTTTCAAAAAAAGTAAATGTAGTTCGGAACTTTTGACGCAGTTTACTTCTATTTTACACGCATGTAGTTTATAGATTCAATGAGACAGATTACAAAGATTAAGCACTTAAAATTATCATCTTCCTCCCCCTATTGAAAACAGTGTGGCCGTTTGAAAAATTCAATGGCTTCCCAATAATGGCGTCTAAACTAACCGTAAATTAGATTTTTTTTACAACTTAGTGCCACTGAAGAACCCAACGCTAAAAAGAAAAAGTAAAAGCGGGTTCTTATGGTGAACCCAATATGGCGGCCAATAAAATCGATTCGATCAGCTTGAAATGTTGTCCTTTGGGGTTCTTGTGGCCACTGATTACGAATCTGGAGACACATTGGAAAAATTTAAAATGGAGGACCCAATATGGCGACAAAAAATAAAAAATAAAATCGGGTGGCCCCTTTGACTTTAAAATATGCCAAGGATTTTAAACAAACAATTCATTAAAAATTACAAAAACCATGCCAATTTAACAATTTTTCGCACTTTAATTATGTATTTAGAGTAAAAAACGTTTTTTTTTAAACTTAATATAAAAAATTTTAGAAAATTAATTCTCTACAAATTTGTATGTAGCATCTTTTTACGAAAAATGCAAAATAAGCTTGCAAATCGCAAACAAACACAAAAAAAAACTAAAATCCAAGATGGCGGCATGTTCCCATATCAAATTTAGAGGCAAGGCAGTGAATCCATAATCTACGTGTAAAATAGAAGCAAACTGCGTCAAAAGTTCTGAACTACATTTTATTTTTTTTCTTCGTACCAATTTGATCTTAAGTTACAGGGCTACTCAATTTTCAGGAAAAACTTTATCTTTTATCTGTCTGTGGCACCAGTCTCTAAAAACTTAAAAAAAAAATGCTTTAGGGAGAACGAAAGCCACTTATGTTAGGTGTTTTAAAATACTTCTGAACTCATAATCAGTGAATGGAAATTTCGAATCGAGTTTCGTTCGACCTGTGAGACGACAGTCGTTTCTCTTCTTTGCAAACTGACGCCAATTGGAAATGTAAAGCGAAGCCACCTGGTGTTTCCAAGGCGGAGAAGGCCTTCCACTTCCTATGTGTATATTGACCTCAAAAGAGAAGAAATCATTTTGTTACGTGTTATTCCTATGGGAAAAATAAATGCTCCATGCGGCACCACTTAGAATTATCGTAGATAGGAGATTCATGGAGGATCATTACTATACCAAATACATACTAAAATTTGAGTCGGGTTCAGGTCGCATTGCAGGGTTTTTTTGACATGGTTCAATGTGCATACATATGCACAACTTCAAAATCCAAGTAAGTGTCCTCTCCCCATCTCACGTTTCCGTTTAAAGCCACCCCTTTTCGGCGGGGCAAAGCACACAGACTATTAGCACATATTTCGGCCTCGAAAAGTGTTGATGTTATTTAACGGAAAATGGAGCGGGGTGGGGTGGGGTGTTCGATGCGTATAATGTTTGGATGCTGCGCGGAACAAAGATAAAACCTGTCTCCTGCCAAGCGTTAGGACGACCCTTTGATCGGCTGCAGTAGCTGTTGTTTAATGTTGACTACGAGTTCAAATTCTGTATAAAACCCAAGTATTTTAGTGCAGCGATGGCCAGAGAGTGTTTTGGCCTATGCCCGTAAACATTGAAAGCCTAAAAATGCTCTGCACTCATGCTTATGAGGTGACTAACTCTACTTTAGTGCTTATTGGCGGGAAAATGCAAAATAGATTTAAGTTATTTCACCGTAAGTACGCGAAAATGCATAATATAGTAGTTTTGTGTTAAAGGGCCGTATGAATATAAACTAAGTAGTTGCTTTTTCTTAAAATTTCACACCTTTTTCACTATTCCAATAAATTTAAGTGAAAGGTATGAAATTTTAAGAAAAAGCGATTGCTCGGCTTTTATTCATACGGTTCAGTTCCCCAAGCAACGAAAAGCCCAATCACACGCGAATAGTGACGAATAAACTAATAATAACAAAATAATCAAAGCAATAAATACGTAACTAAATGTAAATACAATAAAAAGTTGTTTTGGTTTTTGTTCTTTTGTTTTTTCATTGTGTTCCACTACATTCAAGATATTTATTATATAAAAAGCAAACCAATCTAAGAATAGTACAAATAAAAATTTGTTCTCTTCAGATAATTCATCACAATTATCATTATCATAACTATTAATACCAAATTCTGTTGCATTTACATCATCATTTCGATAATGAGTTGCACAAATGTGATTTTTGAATTTTTCACATTTCATGAAACTAGAAAAATATTTAGAGGTACTATATTTAATAGACCCAATTCGAGTAAATTGTTGGTTTGATTCACCAACGAGTGGCGGTTTCGCGCACACGCGCACACACAGTGTTCTTAGTCATTGAATATCGGTATCTTTTAAGAACAGCAAACGCTCAAGTTGATATTCACCTTCATTATTCGAGGAGGAAGAGGAGGTTGCGGCTGTGCCCGCCGACATAGCGGTGCCACTAATGCCACTTGCTGCATCACCAGTCGCTCTATTAGTCTCCTGTTGCTTATCACCGCCCGGGTGGTGCTGCTTAATTGCCGCTGCTGCTGAATTATTGTTGCTATCAGCTGATGCGCACAAGAGTAAATTGATTTTTAAATAGATATTTGCCAGCGGCACACCACGTCTCTGAATGGTAATGCGTTTGCATTGTTCCAACAATGCTGCATCGTACAATTCGCGCAACTCAAATACGCCCATGCCAAGCATTTCATTCAAGCAAGTGCCGGGTTCGCGCCACCACACCGCAAAGTGTATGCGGCCAAAGTTTGGCTTATCCGCAGCCGAAGCGACAGTAGCGCCGCTCTTCTTGTTCTTGTTGCTGTTGCTATGCATACAATCGAGTTCATCGATTAATGGCGTCAAGTTGACATCGCGCTGTGATTCCTGACCGAAACGCGTACACTGCGTTAGGCTATGGAACTTCTCCGATTCGAATTGCATAATATTGAACATTTCATAGCGTGGCACATGCTTGATCAATTCGTGCGATAGCTGACATTCAACAGTGAATATGGGACGTATGTCATTCTGCAGCAATTCCATGCGTTTAGTGCCTTCTGGCTCTAGGGTAAGCGCCTCCAATTGCAGCTTGACGCTCTTGATGCGTCTGAATAGCTGGAGTTCCTCGCGTGTCAAAGTCTCAACACGGTCTTCGACTGCATCTCCGAATTCATCCTCAACAAATGCATCGACATTGGCGCAAGTGGCATTCTGCGAATTCAACTCCAGGTCCAGCTCCGATTCCGATTGCTTTGGTTGCAGCTTTGTATCACCAGCCAAGTAGGCGACCAGTTTGGCGTCGAGTTTACGCATAGCCTCTGGAAAGGAAGAAAAGGAAATAGGAGAGAAAATTTGTAAATTTTGAAATAAACTTTAATTTTTTGAAGTTATATTAAAATTTTGAACATGATTAAATGCGGTTTATTTGAAATTCATATACACAAAAAAAAAATATTCTTACCCATTTTTAATTTAAAAAAATGTGGTTATTTTAGTAGTCACTAGAACCAGCAAAAATTCGATTTCTTTTTTTTTATTTCTCAATAAGCAAAGCGTCTGCTTCTAAATGTGTCTGTGTGTGTGTGTGCGTGTGTGCGCGTCTTAAATGATCGATGCGAGTACTGCTTTGGCCGCAACCGTTGAGTGGAATGAAAAATTTGCCGGTCGTTAAGCTATTTAAATGAAATATGTAGTTCTCAATATGCGAGCACACAGACCGCTTTTTTCCGCTTTCATGTTATCGGCAAATATTTTCGTACAGATTTTCTGTACCGGATGATTATAAAATGCTATGAGGCACAAGGGACTCACGAGAGATCGAAATAGTGCGCTCACCTTAATTTCGTAACAGTGGGGTGATGAAGAGGCACAATATCAGAGATTAATATCAAATTAATTTATTTTCGATTTCCAGTTAAGTTATTGATCCTTTCAGTTGTCTTCTCGCAGTGTACTCTCGGTAACGCTGAAGGGTCTAATGTCTTAACGGCTGTTGTTTTTGTTGTGTTTTAGCGGCACTACTAAGCACTACCTAAATCGGAAAGTCAGTCTATCAATCTTTGTTGTCGAACTCAACTAGCAGTAGGCCCAAGAAAGGCTTGCATCAAAGATTAATGCGTATTAGCAGAGTGGGTTTAACCTTTAATGGCTGCCATGTGCTTCTGTTCTCCATGTTAAGGGCGTCGCCCAAAGACATCTGGTCTGCTTGTCAGGGGCAGTCGAAACCTTGTCTCTTTGAGTAGGAGGAGGCTGAAGTAAGAGTAGTTACAAAGCGAGAAGTTTTCCCCTATGGAGAGGTAAAGGAGACATTTATAGTGCAGGAAGTCGAATACGAAACTTGAGAAGTTAATGCCGCAGTCAGAAAAATGGGAATCATTTTTAACCACAGGACGCTAGCCAAATATTTTTTTATTGGCGCTGAAATACCTAACGAAGTGGACAATTGAAAATAAGGTTTGGGTACAAATGTTTACGTAAGGTTAAGGTGGCTGCTGACAAATTTCCTAATTGCCTTGCTACGCCTCGAATAGGTTCCATGGTTAGAGATTTTAAACCATTTAAACCAGGTTATCTTTTTTTTAGAAAGAGAAGAAACAGTGACGTTGAGAAGGCCTAGTAAGGCTACAAAACATTTCCGTACAATCCCCGATAGCACTAGTTCGAATGATAATGCTTTAAATCCGTTTGACTATCGACGAAGATACATAGATAGTGGTTTTCCGGCTGGAGCTGGTTTAGGAAACGAAAAGACTGACTAAACTGCAGAGCTTTCGAAAGGAATCGGAGTTCCTTGCTCCAATTTGGAACCATCAGCATATGGCGACCTGTTGCTTCGGCATAACTGGCCACGTCGATACAGTGTCGCTGAAGCAAAGTCAGACGATACATTGTGAACAATACATTTAAATTTATTTACTATGCGGAAGTGTTTAGTGAAATTCGAAAAAAATACGAATCATTCCTAACTACATATAACAATGCGAGGTCACACAAGATATCCGAAGACTTTGTTGTATCTCCTCAAAGCAAAGATAACGCATTCGAGATATCTCAATTGGCGTGCAAAAAATGGTATGCAAATTAATTGAGCGCATGTAAGTAGTATCCAGTGCACGAAAGCCCAGTCAAAACAAAATTCATTTCGACGGTCTACTTTTAAGTGTTGTGTTGTGTTTTTTAGGGTATGATATACGTTAAAGAATAGAATCTCATACAAGTTAGAATAGCAAAAAGTAGCTTCAAAACCTTTTCGCAGACTTAATTGTCTAAATTAGATTACAACTGAGGAAAACCTAAAAAGGACTAAAGCTAGAATATGCACCGCAGAAGCTGCGTCAATGAAACAGATTGTTCCAAAAACCGTTAACGAATTCCCAGTCATACACTACGAAAACAAATTTTGACACGAAAGCTTTCTGCAAACAAGCAATGGAACCATATTTACAATTGGCTGTGAGTTGAGAGAGAAAACTGAAGTGTAAATAGACTGAGATTGATCCGGGCAAAGGTAAAATACACGAAAACTTTCCTACACGTTTCAAGCTTACGAAAGAGCCAGGTCCGTAATTGCTAATACTCCTTTCTCCGGTTCTGTGTTATATGTTTCTGGGAGCGCGCTAAGCGCGTCAAATAAAAGAGAAATATATCTAAAAAGTCACCTACATATGTAGACAGTTGGAAGTATTTTAAAGTAATGACGAACTACCACGAATTCAACAATGAATAAATCTGAAAAAAATTGTACTATCACTTTTATCAAAAGGTCCACTGTTGACAAGAGAACAGAGAGTATTTTTATTTTGTATTTAGGGAGAGAAAACAGATGTGGAGACAACTAAATTTTCTTGACATGCACACACTTATGTATGTACATTAGCGTGGTCCAAAACAGTAAAGTCGGAATTTTAATGCTCTCACCCCCTAGTATTGTTCTATATCGAAAAAAAGTATACCCCTATTTCTTTTATTTTGAAATCAAAAAATATTTAGAGGTCGCTCAAAACGCTCAAAGTTTTCCATATATTTTTATATGGAAAAAAAAACTTTTCGTAGAAATGGTATAGAATTCTTGAAAATCAATATTTTTCGATCGGAAAACTCTGGTTCTCTTCAAGAGACTTTCAATAATAATACCCAATTGTTTGTTTCACAATTTTTTAATACTAACGATTTTTTATTGGTCCGCCCATTACATTTTTCGGGGTTTTTATGGGTTTTTGGCGGACCTATAAATTATAGTTGCGATGAAAAAATGGTTAAATAAATAATTGGGTATTGTTATTGGGAATGTCCTGCAGATAAACAAAGTTTTCCGATAGAAAAATATTGACTTTTAAGAATTATATACCGTTTCTACGAAAAGTTGTTTTTTCCACATATAAAATACATGGAAAACTTTGGGCGCTTTGAGCGACTTCTAAATATTTTTTGATTTCAAAATTAAAAAATAGGAAGATGAAACCAAAGACGATATCTAAAGAAATAAATTGACATAATACTTATCAATTTGGCTCGTAGATATCGTCTTTGGTTTCATCTTCAAGTTGAAAATAATCCGAGCGTTAAACAATTCTTTTAATTAAAAAATAGGGATATATTTTTTCAGTAGAGAACAATCCTAGGGGGTGAGAGCATAAAAATTTCGACTTTTCTTTTTCACATGCCCTAATGTACATACGTAGACACATATGTAAATGCAAAGCACATGTATTGAGCATTATATAAATTATATTATAAACGCGTTCATACATAAACGAATACATACATATGTATGTAGGTGATAACAAAGTTTGCATAAAACAAATATAAGGCAATCAGAATAGTTTAGACCCGGGTGCTTTAGAAGCCAATGAACCGTCGGATATGTATATACATACATACATACATTCAATACATATTTATTATACAAATACGGATCTACTACTTAGTTCTAGCTAATGTTTTGCTACACGGTTCTCGGCAAATAAATAAAACTTTTTTCAAGTGGAACATCTGAATCGAGTTCGGAGATGTTTTCGTAAAATATTAAAGTCATCAGATCTGTATCGTTCTTTCGTTTTTCAAAATTGAGGTGTCAATTTACAGGGCTTGGCCTGCAGATGTGCAATGTGCTTTTAGAAAATCGCGTTGATTTTTAATAATTTTTTTAGCTGACGGTGTTGTGAATTTTCTTCAAAATAAAGTATGATCGACAATTTCGTTTATAAGTATGGAAGAAAATGTCTACCATCGTCTCGCAAAAAAAATTATTAGAAATGAACGTGATTTTCTAGCGTCTTGAAATTTGCACTTTATCCTACTAAAATTTAATGGGCGAATTGGTGAATAAAAGCTTTTGATTTTGGCTTACATTCTTGTTTTCGTGCGTTTTTGTATCCCTGAATCTTGAAGGACGTTTACGATTGATTATCAACCAAGTTTCGATTCTGCTGGGTTTTATGACGTTCGGACAGACGACTACTCCACCATTATACTCAAATAGGTTCACGGTAGGATACAAAAAGTTTCACATGATTTTCAATGACCACAACAGCAAAAAAAATTTAGTCTGTTCGACAAGCTCATAATTATTGCAAATTATCACAATTTATCAGGTTTTGGCTTTCGCGTACGCAAAAATTTGCAAAGTAGGGGAAATTGAGAGCACCAAGTGACAGTTGACTTGAAGGGGAAGTTGCTTATTCCTGCGCGAAAAATTTTTACCAGCCAACAAGAAAAACAGCTGTAACTCTTTTCGACCGATTATTTCCCTACTGGTAGAGAATATACGTCATTATCTACTACTAATTAGCAGTAGAGAATTGTTACAGAAACGAGCTACTGATCAAAGTCATCTGTTTGCAATTTATAAAAATGATGAAATTAATTTTGATGATTTTTAAGTTTAAAATAACTTATCAGAACTGCTTCGGAATAAAGCAAATACTCATTGACTTACGTTTGCTTAGCAAATGGCTTTAGGCAAATCTTAAAATTATATTTGTTTTCATGTTTTCAGTTTATGCTCTTGTAAGTAAATAAAATTTCGATCAGCTGCACTAAAAACTTGCAAGTTTTTCTTATTTTGCATTCGCGTACTTTTTGGGATATTTTCCAATTTGAGCGATAATCGTTCGTTACTCTCCTGCTAGTTGCTGCCGGATATTTTTCACTGGAAATCAAACAAATAACGGAAAATATTATTGCTCGGGTATTTGCGTATAGCCTTAAGATAGGGATAGAAAACTGTCGTTTTTGATTTTTCTGGCATGAAAATTTGGATTTCCGGTGTAAGTAGTACTTATTCAAGGGCTGATTGAATTTTGTTACGCTGGAGTTG